ATTTTCTCGTTTTAATTAAATAATTAAATTAAAATGCTATTATTTAATTATTAAAAATAGGCACTAATAATTCTAGCCCACCTGTACCAATCTCTAATCACTCTTACTTCAAGGCCACACACCCTTGACACCCATATTAATTCAAGGAAAAATACCCTTTTTGGTTTGTTAACTATACCTCGAGGTTCATTTTGGTTCCTTAACTTTAAAAAGGTCTATATTGGTCCCTTAACTTTTCAAAACATTCAAAATTAATTCTTTTTGTCTAATTAGTGACAAATTTAGCAACTGATTTTTGAATTTTTCTGTCGCTGATAGAACAAAAAGACTAATAGAGAATATTTTGAAGAGTTAAGGGACAAATATGGACTTTTTTTAAAGTTAAGGGACCAAAATGAACCCCGGGGTATAGTTAAGAGACCAAAAAGGGTATTTTGCCTTAATTCAATTATCACTTATAATAATTAAACTAAACCATAATAATTCAAATAATTTGATAAATTAAGAATAAAGGTGTTACAACAAAACTGGTGCAACTATTCAACTTCACTTTCTAGCAGACCTTAGAGCCAGAAGATACTGTAAATAATGAAGTTCATTGGCATTAGGGAAAACATGGCAACAATGTGGAGACTGAAACACAAGTGAGCTGGAAAACTGAATGAATAAGATCAAACACCACATGACAAAATTCTACAAATGCTGCTGCACATAGAATTACACTTGTTGCTTGTCTGTCTGCATATCATACCTTTCACGGGAAGTGTTATCCTCTACACACTAGATATGATTTAATGTTATTGTGAGACTTCGAGAGTTGTTCCCTTGACTTAAATCATATGCTTAGATGTTATAGACATACACCATTAGATTACTTTATGCCTCATCTGTTACGATAGATCTCATCAAACACACACAAGATATGCATTTCATTAAATGGATCATTGCACAATATGCCTCTCACCATTGATTTGACTTCTTTATTGTCACTTATTGTTATTCAACCTGAATCTGTGATAACCCATTATATTGTTACCTCTTGCCATGGTTACTCACAATATTTTATTGTGAGAATTAATTTAAGTTATTACAATCTTTGTGGGATAGATACGCTTACTCTTACATCACTTGTTACTATTTGAATGTGTATACTTGTACATATTAGTAGTTTTCACATCAGTGATACTACTCTCTCGAGGTCGTACTTTTTTGTTCGTTCAAAATCTCTCAGAGGTGGAAAAGATGGACCTTGTCTTTGAGGTCACCCATAACATGTACCAGAATGCTTATCTATTCTCTCTTGTTATTGCTATCAGGGGAAACATATTGGCTTATGGAAATCCCTTCAAGGAAAGGGGCACTTGGAAAGGGAAGTGCGAGAGTATGGAGCAGAAGTGTTTTTCTTTCCAGAAGGACCTAGATGAGCTTCAGAAGAAGGTCGATCTTGCTAACTCTCTACGAGAGGAAGTGAAGACCTACAACTCCCTTACTACTCTGGCTGTCTGAATAACTGAGCTGGAGGCAGCTCTTAAGGCGTAAGAGAAGTGTCATTAGGATGTCTCCAATATTTTTATGAGAAGACTCATTATGCGGGGGAGGATAGAAAAAATATTCTTCGAGAGGTGGAGGCTTATGTCATAGCCATGAAAACTCTAGAAGACGAAGTTGCTTGCTTGAAAGTGACACTTCATGATTCTCTCTAGCGTACTATGCGGACCATGTACAGGGTCCGTGATCAAGCCGTAGAGAAGGCGAGGAGATTATACCCCACTACCATAATTTTTGTTGAGGTGCTGAACTTGTTCCATAATACTCTCAAGAGGACTTCAAACGGTGATCTCAGTACCCCGACTCTGGGTGCTTCGACTTTATTTCTTCTTTTTCCTTTGTATTTTTTGTTTCCTATAACATTTGACAGGATTTTTGTCGTGGGTGTACTAAATGATAATATTTATAAAATACTTTTTCCTCGATGATTTGTGTATTATTTAGCCTAGAGTTCTATATTTGTCTTCATTTGATTGTTGTTGCTCTACCACAACTCTGGTAGTTTGTAATTTGTTGTAACACGGAGGTTTTCTTGGTGCCCTTGCAAGAAATATTTTTGGACCACAAAGCACGACCAGTGTTCACTAGTGAGTTGTGGGTCTGCGCCTTGGCAGTTACAAATGGATGTCTGCTTATGGTGTGGGAAACCTGATTGATTGCCTTTAGGAAGGAAATTTGTGCATTTTGCACTTTCTTGATAATATTCTTTGTGATTTTTGGACTAGCGCATTGAATGACGTTAGCTACAATTTTCAGTTTATATGTTTGTATGCTGTATTTAGTGTTTGTTTGCATGATGTATTTAGCATTCGTTGTAGTAGCATATTAATTTGAACGTTATATTGAGTGTGTTGCTGGTGTTTCCCATGGTGGGATGGTACTCGGCGAGACCAATGAGATGCGCTCGTATCTTTCTACTGTGCTATGTATCACAGAGGACCGCTTTTCTGCCAATGGTAGGATCCCCGTCCCTGCCCCTGAGCATGGCTCAGATCGAGGTGGACGCCTCCAGGCTCCACCGCCTAACGCCCATGGGTTGACTAGATCCAAATAAGGAGTGCACCAGCTATGTAGAAATGCTTTAAAGTTATATCAAATATGTAAAAACACATGTAATATATATTATGTATTCTTTATTTGCACATAAACGCGTGTAATTTTTATCTTCCATGCTTTTAGCGCTCTAAACGATATACAGACAAGAAATCATGCAACAAAAGAGAGAATAAACAAATATTTATATTCATAATGAAATACATTTGTTACAGTGAGACAACAAAATGACTGGCTAAGTAAACCTTCAACTATTACACCACTTTAACTTGTCTCTAGGCTTGCGGCAGGATTCTCATAGGGACCGAGAGTACGAGAAGACGAGGGTGAAGCTCATTGAGATGCTTGCCTCTAGACCATTACGAAAGAAACTCAGACTACTCTCTTCACCTGGTAATCTTTCTAATGGCTGACGATGTCTAGCGAGGGACCAAATATAATTGTCGACCATATGTGCCTTTGGAGGAGACTTATTTCCATTGCTACCTTAGTTCGGGGTCATTTCCCTGCGCGTAGCCAATGGATCTTAATTACCTTGTTGGTTTGATCATGTAGATTTGGTATTCTACTATGCTAGGCAAGGTGATGGTGCTCAGAGAATGTTGCTTATGAGTTATCTCGCACGAACTCTGGCCTCGGTGGAAACTGTTGCACTTACTAGGCGGCCTCAGGCTATAGTTTGTATAATCTTGTTCTTTAACCACATTTGCGCCCAAACGTCTCTACTTCCTAATGCATTGCCCCTGAGTCATAGGGAAAATAAGTTTATCATAAGGTCGCCGTTAGAATTAATTGATCTAAGCGATAAGAAAAATATGTAGCATAGTAGGCATGTTCCATCACAACCTACTGAATCTGGTCTAAGGAGTTCCACGTTCAGAAGTTAGAGATCCTTTGGAATCTATACAAGGCGCTCCAATATTAGATCTACACCATTCATTAACTATGAACTTGTCATATCTTCGACATCAACACAATAATTATCACAATGGTGGCAGAAGATAGAGGCGATGTTAGATCAGAAGATGGACCATGAATATTTGGCATTATCTATTAGGAAATTGCCTTCACTTTTTGGTGATTTTAGTGTAGATATAGATTTTGATCTAGGATCCTTTCTTGTTTTACTTCGCAGAGTTCTTGAGGGAATTATAGATATGGAAATTTGATGAATCGTAGTTGAAACGATAATTAACTAGATCGAATGCGATGGATCTTCGTGTTTGATTCTGAATGCTCTGATTTTGTGACCCGAGGAGGTTACGAGCTGGTAAATCAGAGATTGGATATGAAATCATGAAAAATGTAGGAATCGAAAGTCGATTCGCACAAACGACGCCATCGTTTCATCCAGGAACCAAAAACGGGTGCAGTTGATGAGCAAGATGTCTTTAACCGACAATGTTGATCTCCGTTACGGCGGGGCGGAACTGCATGGTTAGCACTCCGACGCCCAAGTCAGTTCAAAATTCAAGATGAACATAATGAAAAGTGGAGATCAGAGAATGTACATTACTTTATCACTTTTATATCTTGAATCAAGTGGAGTGGATTTGAGGTGAATTAAGTCTCGACTATTTAGACTTTTGGTCGGCATATATATATATATATATATATATATATATATATATATATATATATATATATATATATATATATATATATATAAAGATTTTTTAGTACAAATTTTTCTATGAAATAGTCCGTTTTCAAAGTCGCTTTAAGTAAAATTGTCAAGTATGATAGATATTCTATCATGCTTCTTAACCTATGCACCAAACGGATCTAAAATGTTTAATTTTTATTTTAATCATTTGAAAATTAATACGAATATATTGTTGTCAGAGTTCAATTGATATGTACTAACAATATAAAAGAATTTTACAATGTCAATTAATAAAAAACCATCAATTTATTATATCATATAATTAACTTAAAATTTAGTGTTTGATGTGTTAGAATATATATTACATATCCGATTTACTAAAAATTAATCTCTAAAGATCCTTGGAAGAACCAAATTGATATTTAAAATGAAAATATAATTTTTTTAAAACTTACAAAAAAAAATCATTTCGTTGTTGCTGTTGTTGTATTCTAATACAATCCATTCCCCCTCACCTTTCAGTTTCATTTCATTGTAAAACCATTCTGCAAGACTTAGTGGTCATTTCGTGCCTTTCCCCCTTCCATCTTGTTAGGGTTTTGCGGTGTTGCCGGTAATTTCCATTCCTTCTCGCTCACCACCACCGGCTTCAACCACAACCAATGCCATATCGGAAAAACCTAACAATCTTTCAAAAACTCTGAACTATCATTTCATCGATTCTCAGTATCGGAACTTTCGCACCGTTTGAATTTCACTTTTCAAATACTTCGAAATCTTGATACATCGAAATATGGTAGAAGAGACAAAAGAGAAGGATCCTGAATTCAAATGGGGGAAAAAGAAAGGGTTTGGTGGTAAAAACAGGGAAGTGACTTTTTACGAATCGTTTATTTACGACGGTGTTGCTTACACTCTTTACGATTCTGTGTATCTTTACAAGGAAGATGAACCTGAACCTTTTGTTGGTAAAATAATCAGAATATGGGAAAGTGGCAATAAGAAAAAGAGAGTTAAGGTTCTGTGGTTCTTTCGTCCATGTGAGATTCTGAACTTCTTGGAAGGATACGAGGCAGGAGAAAACGAGTTGTTTTTGGCAGCGGGTGAAGGATTAGGGCTTGCAAATGTCAATCCTCTGGTATAGTTTTTAATTGTTGCTTTGTATAGTTTTGTTGTAGAAACACGGTTATACTATTGAAAACCATGTTATTCTGATACTGGATGGTTGAAGAATTGCTGTTTGAATGGGGTGACGTGATAATGGAACCTCAGCGTTGTGCATTGTTCTGGTTCTGTTACTGGATGGTTGAATAATCTGTTGTTTTTTTTGCTTGAATTATGTCGTTACTGTTCGTTATCTTAAAGATGCTGTTGAGGTTTTAAATAGTGGACGCGTTGTTAATGAACATTTGACACTAGCTTCTATTATTTTGGCTTGAACGGCGTTCTTGTTTGTTGTTTTAAACATGCTGTCGAGATTTTTTAATTGTGGTCACATTGTGATCACTGACTCTAGAAGATTGGCTTCAATTGTCAGTTGCAGAAGCCGCATAAACCTTGACGCTGAAGGCTTGCGGCTGCAATTCTGGTATAGGACCTTTATTTGAAACCTTGCATGTTAATTCTGTGGTTGTTTGTTTTTCTGTGGTGCAGTTTGTGTGTTTCTGCCTTTCTGGAACCTTCATTGTTATAATTGTAGCGGAACTATTGTTAGACGAGTAGCTACACAAGACAAGATAGAATCAGCAATGATATCAATAGAAAAAAAGTAGGTGTTTGCAGAATAGCTTGTTTTGTTGAAAAAAATAATAGAATTTCATCTAAGGTAGTTTTGCAAATTATATCAACGGAAATATTGTTAAAGAGGGTGGATATGATAGAAAATAGTAGTTCATTAGACAGAAAAATGTAACACACTAGATGTCAAACCATAAAGAAAGTTTTGGAGTTTAATTTATTATGGACCATTTGGTATTGCTAAATGATTTTGTCAACGATGGCACTATTGTGAAATGGCGTGTCTGAACTTTGACAAACACCATACAACTGGACACTTTCTTATGGTAGGCCATGGCTCTTGCTGCACCCATGTTGGACAAAGCTGAAAAACATGAAAACAGGTCAGGTAGCATGATTCAACACAGAAAGTTCAGTCCCATGGGTGAAAAATCTCAACAAAGTTTCAACCCCTTAATCCTGCCTTCACAGTTCTGTTTCAACCCCTTAATCCTTCTTTCACAGTTCTGTTTCAACCCCTTAATCCTTCTTTCACAGTTCTGTTCAACACACGCTGCCATCTCCATCTCTCTGCTCATCAATTCTCCCCTGCAACCTTCCTCTAGCAAATTATCTACCTTTTTCTGTTTTTTTAACACCGTCTTTTGTCTCCTTTTTTCCTTTCCCGTCCTTAATTTTTTTCTATTCACTTTCCTTTAATGAGATGCTATTTTCTTTATCCAAGCTTCTTTGTAGTAGGATCACTATGTCATATTTATATGGTGTATTTTTTGCCGTCTAACCATACTCCACCATTTGTCATTGATAATACTAGGTCTATCTTTTGGTATTATTCTTCATGACCGTATCCATGTTTCAAATTCCACACAGTGGGAAAATACTTCAATTAGTGTTGTTATTATAGTGTTCCCCTTTAATTGTTAAAAGTATGACCGTTTGTCTATTTTTTTTTGTTCATATTGTATACCACATCAGGAAGCTATTGCTGGGAAATGCAATGTTGCTTGCATTTTAAAGGACGACAGGAATCCACAACCATTAGACGTAGATCTTCAAAATGCCGACTTTGTATGCTATCGTTTCTTTGATGTTGGGAAGCATACAATATTGGATGAGATAGAAGATAAGATTGCTGGAATTGAAGGTACGCCATCATATATAGTTAAAAAATATCGTTTGGAATTCATATGCACTTTTGAAGACAGAAATACAATTACACATGTGTTGTTTATAGCTGTTCATGGGCATCCATATGAAATTATGACTTAAGTCATATCTTTCTAAAAAAAAAACTGAATTCCTTTTCTATTGTGGAAACTGAAGTTATTTTACACAATTACTGATTGCAATCAAACTTAAAAATAAGGAGAAATCTGAAGAGTAAACTTGTTTCAAAGTCTTCTTTTTTTCTTGCCTAATGGGATTTTGTTTGTTACACTTGCTTACTGTTTTATAAATGAATCTTCAAACTATTTTAATTTTATTGGCTGTTAAATATTAATGTTTAAACTTTATGGAGATGGAATAAGTGTAATTCTACATGAATTTGAATGATTGGATATCTTTTAAAGTTGTTTCTTCAATTGTTGCAGTTAAAAATATTTTAAACAATTTATATAGTCGAAAGCTCGGTGGTCTTTCGAAACTTGGTTTAGTTGAGAAAGAAGTTAGTGTGAAAGGCACAACGAGTAACGAAGCGGCAACTCTTTCATGTGAAAAAAACAATCAGCTTTTGGTTGAAAAACTAGATGGCAAGTGTTTTGACAATGTTGATTCCCGTGACAAGACCTTGCCTCAAGCCAAAGAGAAAGACAATGGAGTTTATACGACTTCTTTGGCTAAACAAAAATCATATGCTAAACTATCACATTGCTCTAGAGATAGTTTGGAAATGAAAGAAATTTCTAAAATTGGAGGAAACACCTCTATTGACAAGACCCTTTTGAAGTCTAAGATTAATTTAGAAATGGGTGGACATAATATTGTTGGTATACCCGATCAACAAATCAACAAGCGATTGGGGGAGGGCAAGGTTTCTGAGAAGGAAAAATATGGCATTTCTAGTCCAAAAATAACAACTAATGTTAAAAATCGAAAGAACTATGACGAGTATGACGATGTGAAAGAAGTCCCTTCGAAAAAACCGAAGATTGGCATAGTGTTGGTTAAACACTCCGAAGACAAGTTGCCTGACAAACAAATCAACAAGCGATTGGGGGAGGGCAAGGCTTTTGAAAAGGGAAAGTATGGTGCTTCGAGTGCAAGGAAAACAAATAATGTGCAAAATCGAAGGAACTATTATGACAATGATGATGATGATGAGAAGGAAGTGCCTTCCAAAAAGCCAAAGATTGACACGATGCCTGGCAAGCTCGCTTGTGACATGTTGCAGAAAGATTACCGTGTAATGGAAGTTACTCATAGACCTGACGTTGTAAGTTGCAAAACAAACACTCTCATTTTGTCTTGCTAGTTTTTTTATCTCTTCACACTTTACACTTTACTAGTTTACAATATCTCGAAGAAGGAGGTTATAAAAACAAGACAAACCTATAAAGTTTGCCTCTAGCCCTACTCTATTGATAAAGCTTGGCTTGAAAATTGAGGCATGATCAAGGGATTCATAGTGTTGTCAAAAATGACTATACTCTAGTAGAATTTAAACAAATCGTTATTGTTCCACAATACATTTTTGAGTAAATAAGGTTGTTTAGTAGTAGCTTAAGCATCACTATAGTGTAACAGGGTTTGGGCAAACCACTATTTTTTTCAGTAATTCGCACTTGACAACACTGGGATTAGGTCGTTTGTTCCTTGAAATCTTAGGATTTGTTTTGTTTGATTTTCATTATGTTTTTATTTTTTAGTGCAAAATTGTCTCAATTTCACTATGTTTATGTTTCCAAAGATTTGTATAGGCAATAATAAATCAGTTCAGATCAAAGAGTCTCCATCTTTTTAGGTCTCAATAGAGGTTTCCTCGAAGAGGCCAACACATATCCAATAGAAGATTACGTTTTTTCGAATGACATGTATTAGTAATTAGTTTTTTGAAATGTTAGTAAGGGAATTGAATCCACAAACCCGTATCTCTCCAACCTTCACGTTCCTCCCTTAAATCACCAAACCGCCTATGATGAGGTACTTAAAAGGTCTCTTCAATACGATCTACTTCTTTAACCTGTCATTACTCAGTTTTCTATCTCTATCAAAGTCTTTTTTGATGCAAACTGGGGTGCAGGCCTTGGCGAAAGGAAGTCTACATCAGGGTCTTGCATTTTTCTAAGCCTTAATTTCATCTCATGGTGGTCCAAGAAACAAATCTTGGTCTAGCACTGAAGTTGAGTATAAAAGTCTGGCAAACTCAACATCAGATGTCCTATGGATTTAGTCTCTTTTGATAGAGCTTATGGTGCCCTTCACCACACCATTGCTCTATCGTGATAATCTCAGCACAATTGCTTTCTCTCATAATCTAGTTCTGCATGCCAAGTTCAAGCACATGAAACTTATATATTCTTCCTAAGAAGTTCTCATCAAGAGTCTTGTGTTCTTGCATTTGATCAGGATCACCAAACCTCTGTCTCCTCTCAGATTTCTCCAGCTAAGGGACAAGTTACAAGTTCAAGATAAGTCATCTCTTGCTCATAGGTTGTCCCAAGATATTAGAGTGATCTTAGTTTTGCTTAACTCAGTTGAATAACTGACGTAACTAATTTTGCTGAGTCAGCACAATTAGATTAGTTTTAAACTGAGATGTAACTAACTTTTATAATGAAAATTCCCAAATTCAGTTAGATCGTCTGTGTGTGTTGCTTATAACTCCTTAGAAGAGAGGGTCTGCACTGTGCTCACTTTTTGTAGTAGATGCAACTTTAGTTGCAAAGATGAAAGGATACACAATAATGAAATTTATAGAGGTATTTGGGAAAATTTGAGGAGCATGTGGCTTTCATTTAAATCAGGATAAAACAAAACATATCTTGGGTGCATAATCTCAATATTCAAGTAGGTTTGGTGAGAGAAATGTACCACTCAAGCTCGAAGGAATATTTACTGAACTATGGGTTAAAGACTTAGAGAAAAGGTTTAGAAATGTGTGGCTTTCGCCAAAGTTGAAGAAAGATATAATATATGAAATGTAATTTAGCAAAGGGTGTTCTAACCTAAAAGAGGATGTAAATTATCAAATTCAAGATGAGTGAGTGAAATGGAAGAGGGCATCAGGGGTCAGGGTTTTATGTGACACATAAGTATTGCTCAAGTTGAAGGGAAAATTTTATGGGATAATGGTAAGACATGCGATGTTGGACGAGACAAAATGTTGGCGGTTAATAATCAACACAAGAATAAAGTGCAGTAGAGATGAGGATATTGTGTTGAATGTGTGGTAATACTAGACAAGATAGAATTGGAAATGACAATACTAGAGAGTGTTGGGGTTACACTTATATTAGAAACAATGGTGAAAAATAGACCTACGTGATTTGGACTTGAAGAGAGAAGACTTGTAGATTCTATTGTAAGGAGAGTTGATAAGATGAAGATGAGTCAATCAACTTGAGGTAAAGTAAGACATAGTAAAACTATAAGAAACTATTAAGTAAGACCTTGAGATTAAAAAAAATTGGATAAAAACATGGTCTTGTATAGAACATTATGGCAAAATTTGATCCATATAGCCGACCTCACTTAATGAGACAAGACTTGATTGTTGTTGTATTATTTGACATGTGATAATGTATGAGATTAAGTGTTTCCAGATGAAAATGTTCTTTGGATGGATGGTTGTTATTCAAGTAGGTTCGATGACACAAATGTACCACTCGAGCTTGAAGGAATATTTTACTAAAGTATTATATCACATGTGATAATGTATGAGATTAATTGTTTGGAGATGAGAATGTTCCTAGGATGAGTGGTCATTCAAGGGAAGATAAGAGAAGACAAGATTTAGATTATATGGAAGATAGTCCAACAATTAGAGGTAGTGGGCATATGAAAGATGATCCAACAATTAGAGAACAATTAGAGGCAGAGTTAGACAAAGGAATGTTGTAAGTCAATTCGATAAAATAATTTTGGATTTATATTTTCTATTATTACACAATTCATAAGAGGTTATTATGACATTATTTGACCTAGGTAGCTGATTGTTCCTAGGATGAGTGGCATTTCAAAGGAAGACAAGATTAGGCATACCATATGTGGAAAATACTCATATAAGTGCCGGTAAGCTTTGACAATATTGAAGATAGTTCAACAAGTAAAAGTTGTGGCATATTGAAGATAGTCCATCAATTAGAGATAGTGGTATATGGAATTTTGGATTTATATAGTCTATTATTAGACACAAATCATAAGAGGGTTGTTATGACATCGTCTGACTTAGATGTAGCCGAATGTTCCTAGGATGAGTGGTCATTTAAGGGAAGACAAGATTAGGCATATCATATGTTGTAAGTTTAGACAATATGGAAGATAGCTCAACAAGTAAAGGTAGTTGCATATGGAAGATAGTCCAACAATAAATAGGTAAATGGAAGATGGTCCAACAATTGGAGGTAAAATGGCAAAGATAGTCTAACAATTAGAGGAAGTAGTAGAGAAAGGAATGTTGTAGGCCAATTTGTTAAATGAATTTTGGATTTATATCGTCTATTATTAGACACAATACATGAGAGGGCCTTATGACATCATTTGACCTATGTTGCCAACTCTCCTTATTGAGTAATGACACTAGTTGTCTTTGCATGGCAAAGTTGGTTAAATTGTTAGTAACTAATACCTTTGTCCCTAAATATAGGACACCTAAACACGAAAAATTAGAGGTATTAGGCATATCATAAGTAGAAAATACTGATAGAAGTGGCAATACGTTGACAATATGGAAGATAGTTCAACAAATAAAGGTAGTGGCATATGGAAGATAGTTCATCAATTAGGGGTAGTGGCATAGGGAAGATAGTCCAACAATTAGAGGTAGTGGCATATGGAAGATAGTTCAACAATTAGAGGTAAAGTGGCAAATGGAAGATAGTCAACAATTAGAGGTAGTGGTAGACAGGAATGTCGTAGGCCAATTCGTTAATTTTTTTTTTGGACTTATATTGCCTATTATTAGACACAATTCACAAGAGGGCATTATGGCATCATTCGCCCTATGTAGCCAACTCTCCTTATTGAGTAATGACACTAGTTGTCGTTGCATGGCAAAGTTAGTTAAATTGTTAAGTACTAATACATATAGGACACCTAAACACGAAAGCTAAGAAAGTTGGTTGTAGTATTAAATTTGTTAATAATTGCTATTTTTTACAAGTTTCTCCTTCAGGAGAGAAACATTATTAATGTTTTTATTGAATATTTATTTCAGATTGCAGAAAAAGATGCAACATAGTTAGGGGTATGGTATGTTGCTAAAAAAATAAGTAATGTAGAAAATTTAAAAAAGGTGTTATAAAATGGGACAAAGAAATACAAGGGGGTTTTATGTTTAGGGATGAGTATAGTAGTATAACACAACACCCACATACTTGATGGAAATGGGGAATGAAGAAAAAAATGAGTAAAGGAGTTTGTTGACACCTTATTGTATAGGTTCAAAGAATCACAATCCGACAAGATATTTTTATATTTGTATTAGGAGGAGATAGTGTGGTCTTGGGATTCAATTTGCTTTGGAAAGGCTAGGGGGATTAAGATCAACTTGAAAATTTGATTTGATAATACTGGTAGCTCCATTGGTTTACGTAAGTTTAATCTATATGATTTTTAAGATATGCTGCGCTTCTAGTCTCTCTCCCATTTCATTCAATACCACTTGAATCCAGGTGTTGCCATCTTTCTCTATTTTCTCTGTTGTTTTGTACAATGGACCCAAAATATCTAGACTGTATGACTTGTGGTATGTTATTCTCTCGGTTGTGTTTTATTTTTACTCAAATGAAATCAATATGTAATGTTTCTAAAGCTTGTGTCCAAGTATCTTACCTCCCATTTATTTCTTCTCTCCTCTCTCAGAGAAGTATTGAATCACGGTAAGAAAGCATGCTTTGCGGTGTTGGCTCTTGAATGTGCTTATTAAATACATCTCACACTATGGTGAAAAGAACCTTGATGTTGACCATCAGTGGAATCTTATTGTTATGTTGTGGAATCCCGCCTATCTTATGGCTTGTGCTATACAAAACTAGTCCTAAGCCCAGATAAAAGGAGAGGGTTTTCTTAGGACTCAACGGACAACCTAAAAATTTATCGAATATTTGTGACATTGATAAACGATATTATTAAAATAATGTAAAATATTAATTTACACACATGCATATAGAGAGATGTCTTGTGTTTGCTGGGGAACAAATTTGAGTTTTTCTGCTGTATCTTAACCCTTTTTTGTTATGTCCTCTTAGAGTTTTGGTTGGGCTTAACTCAACCGTATAGAACCAACTTGTAAGGTGAGGTTTGCCTTGTGCTATACAAAACTAGTCCTAAGCCCAGATAAAAGGAGAAGGTTTTCTTAGGCCTCAACGGACAACCTAAAAATTTATCGAATATTTGTGACATTGATAAACGATATTATTAAAATAATGTAAAATATTAATTTACGCACATGCATATAGAGAGACGTCTTGTGTTTGCTGGGGAACAAATTTGAGTTTTTCTGCTGTATCTTAACCCTTTTTTGTTATGTCCTCTTAGAGTTTTGGTTGGGCTTAACTCAACCGTATAGAACCAACTTGTAAGGTGAGGTTTGCCTCTACTTAGGATTGCCTCTATTTATAATCATATGTTTATGCCATCCATATATTGTCTAATGTGAGACTCACACGTTCCTTACTTTTTTGCCAATCAATGACTGTGACATTACCCATCAGATTCGTACCATGCTTTCATATGCGACTCAAATTGAGTTGTGGATTTGTTTACCCATTATTTTTTGGTGATCTTTTCGATGGCTACTGTTCTTTTGCTCTACATTATATATCGCCTCTTAATACCTCTTTCGTTATCTAGCTGTTGATACCAAGTCTATTAGGCTCTTCTTTTGTATCCCATTTGTCATGTTCCATTTTCCTCTCTTCTCTTTCTGTGTTTCTGGATATATACTATGTAATTTTATGCATAAAGACCGACGAACGTATTTTTGTGAGAACCATAAGTCTCATGCTCAGTCAACAAGTTTCTCTAAAAAAAGAAAATTTCAAAATACTAAGCATCTCTTAGAAATGAAGAAAATGTAAACAATAAAAGGAACATAATTCACATTGTTATTTACTCTGAAACTGATCAGTGGCCACCACATAACACCAATAGCACAAGAATAACTATCACATGGTCTACATCATGGCCAAGGAACCTCATTTTCCACCCCAAATGAATCGGTTGTCAAGTTTCTTTACAAAAATTACAACTTCAGTATGAAACCTTGAAAATAAAGCATTGAATTTGAATTATTCAAAGTAAACCTCGTCATCTAATTCATTCTGTGGATAATAGTTAAAATAAGAGAAAGTGGAAATTTCTCATAAGAGAATAAGAAGTTATTGGAGACGAGAGAGGATTGTATTGTGGCTGTGCTCTAATGATCCAATTATAGTGAGAGAATATTTTGACACTAGAAAACAAATGGGTGTCACACTAGGGGACAGTGAAGTCTTCAACGCCACTCGCCGCCCATTCTTGTGTATTATTGCTAATGTCATCTAAAATTGAATGACAACTGCGAGACTGACTACCTCTTTTTACGCACTGGTCTTCTTCGACAAAACTTCTCTTATAAGAGATCATGAAAGTAGGTGAACTAATCTCTATTGCTTTTGTTACGAATCGGGAGAAGCTGCACACAAACCAAAAATAGAAAATCTAAAAGAACAAATGGTGACAGTTGGACTTTGTGCACGGCCGTAGAGTAGAGAATCATTTATGTAGTGACATTGTTATGATAGAGGTTCTTATTTTAGGTATAATAACAATTGCACAATTTTGGTCCCTAATTTTTTCTCCGTTTTGCAATAAAATGGCTCGTCTAATTTCTCCTAACTTTTGACAACATTGGTTTAAACCTCTTTTTTGTCTCGTTTTTCAACTTAGAAGCATTATTGAAATGACATTGGTTTAGATTGAAAGTAATTGAATAATTTTACTGTTTCATATTGCTTCTAACTGTGACTTATATTAATAGGGATTCTTGTAGGATCCCACAAATCATAACCTTGGAAGATTAGGGAGTTGAGTTTACTTGCCCCTGTGTTTATTGGTTTGAAAGAAATTTGGTACACAAAGAAGCTATTTCCCCATAGGACCAACAGCAATATCAAACTTAATTAATAGACAGTCTACTGTCTACACTTGGACTATGCTAGCTAACAAGAAGCATGACTAACAAACATTCTTATAAGTTTTGTAGAGAAACAAATGGATTCAATAATTTTGGTCAACTTTCAATTGTTTAGTTGTTTTGATGTATAATGCTTTTAAACATTTGTTTTTTCGTTATCTTATGCATGCTTTTTCACTTGGTGACAGGATAGAAGAAAATGGTTTAAGCCAATGGTCAGTTTTCTTTTTCATTCTATTCTCTTAAAATATTTATTTAATTGGCTCTTGTAGGATGTAATGAAATACCTGTAGCCTTGAAGTTGCCTTTTTTTGTTGTTAGAAGATGCAATTGATAAAATTAAGTGAAACACTGCTGACTTACACATGTTTTTTTCTTCATTTTTCAGCCTTGGGAGGAAAGAATGAAAAATGCTTGTGAGCAAGGGAAACTTGTGCGGCTTGAAAATTTGGATCCTTCTTTAACTTCTTCAGAAGTACAGGTAATAATCATTCAAAAATAAGCATTTTCAGATTCTTGTATATTATGGGGAATGTTATAATACAAATCCAACATTCTGTATTCCAATTGCATTACCAGAATGTTGAATCCTACTGTAGAGTGGTTAATTTGTAGGCTAAACAGCCTCGTAAATCGTTACTCCATGTATATCTTTATATTGTGTTTTATTTGGAATAAAAGAGGCTTTATTTGCATTTTTTGCATATTTATGGGTTGACTTACTTTTAAGGCCGTAAGATGTATTAGAGACGTAATATTCAAGCAGCTGCTGAGTTAATTTTTATCATTTTTTTTATTTATTTTATTTTTTTATTATGTAGGTTGACCAGTCTATCACTTAATGTTTCATCTGGTTTATTGTTATCTTAATATCCTGCCTATCTCTAATATATTTGACTTGCTGTGTTCTCAATCACAGAATATTATTTGGCATGGGTTTGAAGAAAGCTGTACTGCAAAGATGATCCAGAAAACTGCATATTCTAGTCCTCATTCTGGTTAGAAACTGCAGTCTTTGTTCGTCTTTTTCTACAAGCTAACTAAGATTGCATGCACTCTCCTCTCTCAACTAGGATCATAATATTGATATTTAATTTGTTTCCGAAGCGCCTAATACACAACTTGTTGTGTTTCAATATTTTATTTATTATGATGATATAGGTCAAGCTTTTGTTATATTTAAGAGAAAGGAAGCTGCAGAGTCTGTTGTTAGAAAATTAGAGGAGGGCTGTTTCTTGATGTCAAATGGGCGGTATGTACTTAGCTGTATATGCTTGATAACTGCACTGACAAATAACTTAAATCACTCTATGATATTAATCATCCCTCTATTATATTAATCACCCCTCTATTATATTGATCATGCACAAACACATTCGCAAAGCATGATGCGCGTGCACTCTGAATAGTTTTGTATTGATTATTTCTTATACCTCGTGATTGTATGATGATTTTCTTGCTTTCATCCTGGAGTTGGGATGTTGAATGCAAGATAGTCAAAACTGAGACTTTATTAAGGATCAGGGAATCAATATCATAAATCATGGGAGAACATAGAAGAGAATTAGACTCCCAATTCAAAGCAGAAGAGAGAAACTTGCATAAGAGAAGCGTGAAAACCAATACTTGATACAAAAGAATAAACACTACTTCCTCCGTTTCAAAATGATTGTCGTTTAAGATTTTTGCACACAAATTAAGGAATGCATTTATATTATTATAAAATATTGTACTTTTACTAAATTAGTCTTATTAATGTGTTGAAAATAGTGTATAGAATAATAATTATATGACACAAGTAGAAAAGTAGTAATTATTACTACATTGAAAAGTGAGAATGACATTCATTTTGAAACAAAATTTTTTCTCTAAAACCGACAGTCATTTTGAAACGGAGGGAGTAGTTTCTATTTATAAGAATAAATAAATAAAAAAGATGATGAAAAAATCATGATAATAACTAAGTAATAAAGAAACTAATATTATGAAACTATCCAAGATAAGAAACTAATTTTACGAGATAAACTACGATGCTATAACATAGTATCAGAATATTTTGACATAATCTTATTTTGTATTTTGTAACACTCTTCTTCAAAACTAAAACTTACTAATTTTAAGCTTGTTACAAATTTTAAGATAATCTTTTTTATTGAGAAAATATAACACCTGGCACAATCATAAATGTTTGTAGATTTGCTAGCTATTATTTGTTCTTATATATTTCTTGGTTGGAATATTTAATTTTATTGTTTGCTAGTCCACTTGTGGGAAGCTTTGAACACCCCTGCTTGTCGGGAAAGAAGCCAATATTTTATGGTCATCATGCTATTGATCAACCTCGACAACGTGAGACGGTATGGTCAGATTAATTTCTGTTTTAACGCAATGGCCAAGTATTTGTCGACAAGTTGGTTAATTTTCTTTTATTTGTTGATTAATTTTGTTTGAACAGAAAGACGCAGTATCTACTTCACATTGTTCTCAGCCCAACAACATTGAATATGATATGGCCTTAGAGTGGTGTTTACTACAAGAAAAAGAAGACAAAACTTGGAGAAGATTGTATAAGGTATAGAATTTTTGAATTGTCAGAATTCATGCTGTTCTGTTTTATTTTAAGCGACATTGATATTTGGTTATAACATTTTTTAGCGACAAGGTGAGGAGTTGAGCAAACTCAAAGCTAAGTTGAAGTCTAAAATCTAAACAATCTCCACTGACTCTTCTATTTTTGTTGGTAAGTTATCCTTTCTATAAGACGCGAATGTGAAGTATATAAATAAATGGCTTCATTCTCCTATATAGTTTCTATGTCTCTGTTCACACTGCCTTGTTGCAAAGGGTGAAAGTAGATCAATTATTTTATTAATATTTGATTGCTTGTTAACTGTAGAAAGTATTCTATAATTTCAAAGGATAGTTATTTAAAAGAAAATGCACTCCTTTTTTAGGAGATAGTTCATAAAGACACTCCGCAAATTACGTTGTGATTTAAGGAATTAAGTAGAATACAATAAATATATAAAATCAAATAGTACTGATTCTAATAGTGTAAATATTTCAGCATCCCCCATCAAGTTGGTGCGAAGATATCAATTATGCCTAACTTACTAATTAAATGTTCGAAAACTGGTTTGACGGTGTACTAAAAGTAGTCCGAGTATTCCAGAATCTATTTTCTCTTCTATAAATTGATGATCAATTTCAATTTACTTTGTTCAATCATGTTAAACTAAGTTACAGGCTAACTAAGAAGGCAATATTAGGTTGCGTATTTGCAGAGTAAATAAACTTTCCTACTAACTTCTGATATCTTTCTGTGTCAACTAACTTCTGTTATCTTTCTGTGTCAACTAACTTCTGTTATCTTTCCTTTCTGTGTACCGTAGACGGGTGTGGTACCATTTTTACTAGTTTTTCATCTGGGCCATAGGATATCGATATTCCTTTCTTTGATATAGTTGCTTCGTTGCCAAGGAAGTAGTATTCCAAAAATCCAAAGTCTTTGATTTCAAACTTTGTTGGCAGATTTCTCTTTAGTTTCTCTATTTTTGTCACATCACCTTCTATTAGTACTATATAAGTACTATATAATTGGCATAAACAATTTGGATAAAAATTATCCCACTAAGATTACATTTTATGAATGAAGTGTGATCTGAACGCCCTTGTATTGTATCCTTGTTTCTTTACTGATAGAGTGCAAAATTTCAAACCAAACTATTTTAGAGATTTGTTTTCAACTTGCACGCCTTAGACACACCTTTGACCTAATTTTTTTTCCAACTTGCACACCTTTGACACAATTGAAATTAATAGCAAGAGATAGGAGAATATCGGTAGTGTTTATTGGAGTAACTAGAATAAGAGCTTAATGAAGTTACACAAGGTTTGTAACCAACTCTATAATAGAATGTACTCAACTTTATTACACACACACAAAATTTAAGTTCAATCTTCTCCGATGGCGTTCAAAGAAACATCAACCAACACTAATCGCATGGTCTCTAACCTCCAATGCGGAAAATATTTTCATAACATTCATTCACTCAACATATATGTTGAAGCTCGATCGATGAGAACAACTTCCTTTCCTAGAAAGAGCAAGGGTGTTTGCAGACTAGTTTGGTTCAATTTTGAGGAATTTGATGTACAAACCGATCTAAAATATATTGATTGTTTTGGATTGAATTTGAACATTTTTGTGATAAAGCCCAAATCGAAACAAAGAAACAAGAGATTGGGCTGGATTGATTGGATACATTAGAAACAAATGTGCAAAATATTATAAAAAAATAAAAAATTTACATTAATTTTTCATAATAATGTAAAATCTCTAATTTTTTTTCTCCATATAGATTGTGAATGTCACATTTGTCATTTTATTTTTATTTATTAAAGTTAAATAACATATACTAGTTTCTATGAAATATGAATTAATTATGGTTGGTTCGGGTAAACAAGTTTGCAAATAGAATTTTAGAAATTTGTTGTCCAAACTTATTAACATCGGGTTTCATGGTTTGGTTAATTTGTTGTCCAAACTTATTAACATTGGGTTTCATGGTTTGGTTTGGTTGTACCTGAATTAAAAAGATGCCCAACCCCAACACCATGGTTTTATTTGGGTTCCGGTTTGGTTCAGATTTACATGGAACATTGAACACCCCCTATTACGAAGCTATCTTTGATGGCTTACATGATGAGTTTAATGCCTTAGCACCCATCATTTAATTTCACTTGGATCTTTGCCCTTTTATTGTAGCGGAATCCATACTTTTGTCATATGAGGCAAAGCCGAAATGTGCGAAGAAATCCACTTTTACTGTTGATAATCCTATGTTGCCTTTTGATTATGGATCTCAGTTCACTGGAATTCGAGCATTCAATGGTGGTACAGTGGTGGCAGAGGCTTTAATCGTGGCAAGAAAGGCATGTTTGAAGGTCGTTTCAAGGTTGATTGTCAAATATTTTACAAATTTGTTACAAACTTGGGAATAAAGCTAGAGTGTGCTATCACAAACATTTTTCAATGATGCCTAATCTTACATAAAATTAGCAAAGTTTCTCAACTCAACCTCAAGTGGTCTAATCCTAATTCAAACCAATGACAAATACCTTCATCTCATAATTGGAATAAGTGGACAAATGCACCAGCTCAACAATCTACTTATCCCAACCGATGGCTCTCGCATGCCGCATATGGACTTCCACCTGGCTTCACCCTTAGGCCACCTGCTCAACCATAGGATTATTTTATAGGTACGAGCAATGAGGCATACAATAAAATTGGTATTCTGACTCAAGTGCTACTCACCATTAACAAACAATGCCGATCACCAATCATAAAGTTTATTTATTCTTAGCACATATCATGTTAAATGTCTTATATCGAACAATATGTGATATGAAAACGTGTTAAAAATTGGGGAAATCTACATCTTGCAAGCTGGTTTTGTAGGATTGAGATATACTTAACTTAAATTCTAAGATGATATAATAGTCAAGTTCAAGATCCGTTAAGTCACATTCTATTAGGTTTTTGCATCGGATAATTCTCAACTTACAAGTCTGTTTTGTAGAGATGAGTTAGGTTAAATCACAATTTTAAAAATAACAAAGTCTAGTATTATCATTAGTAATGGTGATAACTTTTGTTAACATCAGTGAATAATTTAAATATGGTTTTGATGGATTATATGTAGGGATGTCAATGGGTAGGATTTGGGTAGGGTACTATAATATCCATCCTCGTACTCGTGGTTTAAAAAAATGTATATACCCAAGTCCATATCCATTACCCGTAATTTTAGTAAAAACAAATCAATAAATTAAAAAATATCATATCATTTTATATTTTTAACCAGAGCAAATGATTTAAATTTTTTTTATTGTTGAGTCATGAAATAATTGAACACTTGTACCAAAATACATATTAGTTTAATAGTAATGTATTTGTTTAAAGTGATATATAATTTTTATAATATACATGAAAATATATAAATATTCATTGTGGGGTATGAGGCGGAGTGAATACTAAGGTATCTGCACCTATACTCTCTTTATTTAGTGGGTAATTATCAGTCACCTTGTTCATATAATTATTTTGTGGGTTTTTACCATATCTCCTGTGAATTTTTTTTGTAGGTACCCATTGGGTATGAGTATAATTGCCATCCTTATTTATATGTTTGCACATAGGAAAAGAATTTTTGTGATGTTTAGCAAGTTCTCAAGTTTCACATTGGACTAGAGAAAAATCATAATCAACAAAAAGTATTAGGAATAAAAATTATAAATTACTTGGATTCTTTAAAAAAATCAGTTGATTTTGTTGAAATTAAATACATGAATAGGAATGAAAGAAACAATGTTTTACGAAAAACTTATTTTTCTTCTTCTAGAAATTATTATAGGTCTCAATTTATTCAACAATTGGATCGTTGGGGTTATCGTATTATGAGTATGGGTTTTCTCTTTCTAACGGTAGGTATTCTTTCAGGAGCAAAAGCAAGTTTACCTTACTTATATTAATAATATAATTCGTTCTGCTGTCAAAAGTAGGGGAAAGTGTCTGATCCTTTCAATCAAGCGATAGAGGCAGAGGCTTTACTTCTTCAGCCTACGCTAGGACGGAGCTGCTGTCGAGTGACGATTGGCCGAGGGGAGTTCAATCATGAAGCTGGGTACAAATAAGCCAGTAAAAGACAAGTAGAAGCCAGTGAAAGAGGAGTTTTCTAGGATGCTAAAGAAAAGAGATGCAGCCTTTGCGCCAAGCAAGACCGCCCTTGTCCTTTCTCCATTCCGCCTCCTTTGCTTTGTTCCAATATAGTCTAAGGCAAAGCAAAAGTGGGTTTGTATGCCTACTTTACCTACTTGACGAAAGGGAACGAACTTAGTTTCGTTTTCGGGTTTAAGGGTCTTTCTAGGAGGCTCGGGTGAGAGGGGTGTGATGAATAGAGATTTCCCACCAGCAGCTTCTCCTATCACTTTACTTCTGCAGGCGCCATCAGTGACTACTAAAATCAACTTATTACACATTGACTTTAGTAGCCGAAGATCTTCCACCATTGGATGAGTCTAACTATAGATATCCTATAAATTTTTTTTTCCAGATGGAAGCCTATTATCTAAATAGATAAGCTTCCTACGCTGGTTTGGTTACCTGCATGAGGCCGCTTGATATCATATCTTACCCCACCCGGGTGGCTTCCGCGTCACCCCCAGTTGCTCCATTCTGGATCGTCTTTGTTCGTGATCATGTTGGGCGAAAGGTAGTTAGTTGTAGAGGAGCGGTTGTGAAACGACGATTCTCCCCTTTCCATAATACGTTAGATTCTTCTGTCCTTTGTTTGGTAGCACTTGAATTATCAATTTAATTATGACTTGAGTTGACTAAAAAAATATCTTTCTAGGCAAACAAGAGGTTTGAGACTTAAGAAGCTTGTATTGTAGCTCTATCTGTTCTTGAGTGAGTGAAAGCGAGTTTAAGGGGGATTTTTGCCCCAGATCAGAAGTAATAGTTTAAAGTGCACACTATCTTCACCCCTCTTCTTCACATTACAAGGTTTCTGTGGAATTTCTGACATGTCTAACGCGTGTGCCATTAGTGTTTACCAGACTAGACTTCAGAGACTTACCATCTTTTCGCCCTTCTTAATTGTAGTTACTTGTGACACGTTTAGAATCATAATTGCTGGTAATCT